TGTCGAGGTGGTTACACCTGGACCCAGTTCTTACAAACATTGAGTCATGATCACAGGAAAGTAAGTGATTTACAATAATAGTTTTATTGCGTTTTGTAGAATTTACCAAGGGTATAGATTGGTTTTACATCTACGTGTCCTCACTGGTATAAACTGTCAAGTAAATTTGACAGAGATAAGCCCACAAACTGGACTTATAGACTTAATTTATAGGGCATTAGACAGCTTACCATTATATATTCATATATGTAATGATATTACTTCCTGGTTACGATTCTGTCATATTAAATCTGTATTAATATTGATTCACTCATACAATGTTATTGCTGTTTTGAAAAACTCAACTACTTAGTTGCGTGATGTGTTCCAGATCCTATTGTTAGATTGTACAATAAAAATCGCGTAGATAAACAAATCTTGAGAAAATCAATTGTTATTTGTTTGAAGTAATGTTTGCCTTTGTATACTTGTGAAACATTAACGGGTGGTCGAGGTCTTGTATTCTGTGTTAACTAGATCATCTTTATGACAGTATGTCAAGTTGGCCACACAAAGGTCCGCTAACGTGAAGACACTTTTGATTATATGTACACCGTCAGATTCCTACGTTTCTATTAAAATAATCAAATCACGTTTTGAACATTCGACTAGCAGACGGCCACAGATAATAGCAGACGAGAAACGTGAGTAAAAACCCGGGAAACTGTGGATTGAAGGGTAATCATTACAATTAGTGAAAGTAAACATGATAGAAGCCATCCATCATAGTGGTGATTCACGGAATAGCTTTACATCACTGGTCTGTAAATTCAATTGATCCCAGAACGTCCTGACATTTTCATAGGATGACATGTTTGCTAACATATTGAATTCCTTCCGTTATTATTGTTGGTTCCGCCATAATAAAAACAACGATAACGTTGCTACGCAAAATATGGGATTACCACTTACAGTAATTACCAGGAAACGTAAATGTTGTTGGGAATTGGTATGACTGATAGGACCAGGGTGGTCACTCAATAATGATTCTAAAACCAAAAAGACATGAAATGTGGAGCCAAGAGGGTTTTCTGACATACCATAATTGCGTGTACTATTAATAAGACAGGGATTAACAACTGTTGCTACCCAGGATGATATCGCAGACAATCAGGTATCTCGGGCGTTTTATCGTTCTATAATCTGTCTGATGAATGGGCGGGGAGGGGGGGGGGAGATTACGACATACATTAATTACCTGGAAATGTGAAATGGAGGGTGGGGATCGGATTCGAACTTTCACCCTACAACCACAAAGAACGTCTGAAATGTTATGAAAGAGCCACCGAGACTTCCATATCTACAAGTCTGGTTTATGTGACATAATCTACTATATGGAGAGAAGACAGACTCTGAAACAACCAATTTTAGTTTTATATCCAGAAAAAAAAGGATATCACTTTTAGTATGAATGACAAATAATAACCCTCCTTAAAGCGGCCTACTCCTTGTCACGTACAACCGGGGAATCGAAACCACACCAGTTGACTCAATGACAGACCTTATGTTACAATGCACACGCGCTAACCAACAGGTCCCGTGTTCTATTTCGGTGGTGACCGAGAAAGTCCCCCCTAGTTTAGGGGCCTGGCAAGGAATAGTGTCTAGTTGTTTGGATGGGACGAAAAACTGAGGCCCGTCTGTACACATTAGCGTGCAGGTAAGAGAACCATTGACAGTTTGCATTCGAAGTAAGAGTGGACCGTAATGCCGCTTTACGGGCAACGTGTCCCTCACTTTAAACCCCGTTTCATTGTTTTTATAAAAGATATCAGCAAAACAGTCGGACTTTAAACCCTGTTTCATTTTGTTTATAAAATATATCAGCAGAACAGTCGTTAAACCCCATTTCATTTGTTTATAAAAGATATCGATGTGCCGATTGAATGATGATAATGTCAGACTACAACTAAACCTGACTTTTCATCACAATCATTGTCCCCATACTTTATTACGTGTATAATAGAACAATGTTATCCTCATCGATTTTTTGCGCTACAAGATACATTTTTCAATTTCTTCTCTTTCCTATTTGAGTGTATGCAGATTATGTTGCAACTGATTGTGTAATTTCCTCTAAACGAAATGGGGTTTGGAGATCTTCCCACTACTCTTCATCGAATAACATGCACACTCACATGTACACGGGACGTGGACGAAATTCCTTACTAGCCCCGCCCCCTCCAGTCGCCGCCCCCGTGCCCGTCGTGTTCCACTAATAAGGAGTAACAACGCCGAAGAATCTCTAGTAACTTTCATGGCTAACACCATGATTGAACCGGGGACCTCCTGGTTAGTGAGATAACGTCTGACTCACTGGACCACCATGTCTTCCAATTTCCTGTAAAAGAGGAGATCATGCAAAGAAGGAAACAAAAATAAATTACATTTCGAGCGATTCTTATCAGTTTTAAAAGCAAATAGATTAACAGTAGTGCTCGTATTATACAATCTGATTAATGTTCTACATTTTACCAGGACGATTCCTTGTATTTATGACTATGTAGATTTACAAAAGTACCCATTCGATCACGAGGCACCGTATTCTTGACTGACTAAGAAGCAAATATATGGCAAATATAGACTTTCGGGAATCGTAGAATTGTCAGTCAACGCCTCGGTGATAAATTATTTCTATCCGCAAAGTTAAAACATTAAATTAAGTTATTTGTCTTAAGGGACAATATTGGTGTCAGTCATTATAAAATATGTGATAGAACTGGTTAAATACATCCCAAATAACACAGAGATCATTGCTACGGGAGATGTGTAACAAGCACGTGAAGAAACGGGAAGTGACGACAAACATGCCAAACACGAGTTATCCTACTATATAACTGATTGAAGCAACGAGCGATAACAGACACGCGATCGAATTTCATTTCACTGATAATTCGATTGAAGATGAAAAGCTAGTATATGAGACGGTGAGAGGATATCCGACAATTCAAAAAAAGAATTGGCTGTCATTAGATAAAAGATAACGAACAAATTAGAAAAAGTCCGTGCATTACCATGTTTTTATTAAGAACAGAATGAATACAAACGGGGGAATGCACGGGATTTTTCTATATTTTTCTCGTTGTCCCTTATCTAGTGACAGCCAATTCTATTTTTAAATTGTGAGATACCCTCTCACCGTGCCATATAATAACGTTTCAACTTCAACGGAATTATCAGTGAAATGGAATTCGATCGTTTGTCTGTTATTGCTCGTTACATCAGTCAGATACATAGAAGGATAACTCGTGTTTGTCATGTTTGGCGTCACTTCCCGTTTCTTCACGTGCTTGTTACACATCTCCCGTAGCAATGATCTCTGTGTTAAAATTATATTTGGAATATATTTAGCCAGTTCTATCACATCTGTGATTATGACTGACAACAATATTGTCCTTTAATCCTCGCTCTCTATATTATTGACATTTAAATAATGAAAATGTGTATTGTTCTACTGCTGCATTGGTTCTCCTTGCAACAGTAGGTTTAAAAAAGACCAAGGCAGTCATCCTTCTAGTTGGGCTCACTTCAACTTTATTTGTCCTTTTGTAAGGGTGGGAAAATCCTTGTATCAAAAGTATAGGATAATCTTCCTGTGTTCGGTCTGGGGACAATTTGACCACCATTATTATACGACCATTATTATAAATCTGTGCTGACTAAAACAAAGGAAGCATTAAGATATCCATTCCTTAGCTACTGATTCTGGGTTCCTGTTTTTGCAACTTGCTTCCTTGTAGCAGTGTCCACTAATGTACAGAGTCAGCAAACTAGCCTAATGTGTCATTTTTATAAACTAAGTCAATAAAACCAAAATAGATATTATCACTCTTACGTTTTACTGTCTGGTTAATGTTAACATGAATTAGCCGATTACAATAAATTAAAGATACATTATGTAAGATTTAGATAAAGAACTGACTGTTCCTGTTATAATAGTTCGAAAACAGATAATGAAAAATGATTATTTTTAAAATTTCATTTAAATTGCTTTATTCCGAGCAAGTTATGAGTGTTTGAAGGTTTGACCGGATGTAGCCTAAAGTGTGCATTATCGTGACAACGGTACTTGGTAATCGAGACTTTTTTTTCGATAATCCATTTTATCATTATTTTCTTTTAAATTCCATATGAACCTCGGCACCCCAGAGAGTTGGTTAAAGGCTTGCCGTGTGCATAAATGTCTAAATAGTAGTTTATATAACATTTGAACACAATCTAAGGACCTGTAATAGGCAGATTTAACTCTTTGTATGATTTATTTTTAATGATTTCCAAAAGTCAACAGGAAATTGTCGACGTAATGTCTTGTATAAATGCAAGAACGAGGTGAATAGGAAATAACGTACATTACCATGGAAATCAGTGCAGACTTAACAGTTTTCTTTCTTAAGTCACTGGCCGGTTACTGTTGTCGCGGTCAGTTAATTTTCACTTCTTGATGTAATGGAAAAGCAATTAGATTACTTGGAACTTATAACAAATTAACTTACTGTTGTGTAGCCTATGGAAAAGTGGGAGTTTGCAGACTCCATATCGGGTCCGCAAGTGTCACATATTCTTATTTACAAAATTTCGGCGACCCGCGAGTCAAGGTTCTTCTTGACCTCCACCCACGTCCAAACCCGCCCTTCCGTTCGGCCACTATTTTTAGCTGCAGTCGATAATTTAGTTTCATCGTATTATCGCAGTGACCTAATTCAATATGTGATCGGTTTCAGACCGGATGTATCACCGGACATCGTTATGAAACTGTTGGCATGGTGTATAGTCTCGATCATCTCGATCATACAGCATTAGGTAGTTATAAGTATGATGGGTGGGATGCCAGTATGAGTTTCTCGAAATTTCTAATTTACTACAGTATTTGATTTGATGCATTTTTTGTACTCTAATAAGAGAAAACATTATCTTTATAAATCTAATCGAGCAATAAAATTAATTTGTATTTTCTCTTTCAGACGCTGTCATCATTAATGACACAGCAGACGCAAGAGACGGATCTACAAGATTCGGACCAAGGACTAACCAAAGATAATAAATATGATAGTGACTGTAATCTGGCAGCTGATCCAGCAGAAGAGAATCATTATGATCGATATGATCAAACTTTGTGGGACCGACACTTGGAATATTTATTGACGTGCAGTAGTTTTGTGGTAGGAATAAGAAATGTTTTACAGTTTCCCGCGATGGCGACCAAAAATGGTGGAGGTGAGTTCAAATGGTAAAGAGAGAGAGAGGGGGGGGGATTTAATGTCCAACCTACGTCATTTCAGGGCTAACATATGGTTCAGATTTATTTCAAGAGTTCAATTACGCGTAGGGGTCTTTAGCTGTGGAAGGAAACGAGGGACACGGAGAATACTCACAAGTCTGAACAGGCGATCGTACTCCTTGACCCAACAAGCACGCGTAAAACCATTCGCCCCCACCCCAGTGACGTCAAGGGGAGGGTTTCTTTTCTAATTTAGCATGTTGTGAATTTCAATTAAACTCTGGTAATGTTAGTGCTGCAACTTTTAACCCTGGTCTCGAGACGTGCCAGTGCCAGTGTCACAGATTAGGTGTGAAACTTGAAATAAAGTTTTTCCTTCGACATGTCTGAAGGAAATAATTTAAAGAATTTTTTTAGCACATTTGTCACTTACTCGTAATTGGTATTATTTATGATTCCCACAAGGTCGTCCTCCTTAAATTATATATGACGAATCGTCTTACTGCTCCCTTAATAATGCATTAATTTGACCTTAAGCTCCACCTTCATTAGCCCGATTGGAGCAGAAAAGTGGGATGATTTCAAAAGCTACGTACGTTCCCGGATATGACGTAAATATATCAGAATGCACGATCGAATGTATAGCGTAGTGTTAGCAAGCTTTTCTCCAACTTAGATCAAATTACTCAGCAGAAAGTAGCGTAATTATAGTTCTGATGATGATAGGATTCCATCTTTAAGTTACAGTAGCAGAGCGACATTCTATGTTCCCACCGCCTACATGTTCATGATGATCATTCATGCTTAAGTTTCCTCTTAAAACCACTACGGATAGTATAGGTCCGATTGATACTCTAAAAAATATATATGGTTGGTATGGCCACGTTGACTCGTGCCCGAGGTCAGATTATATAACAGTTTGCTAGAGACCCAGAAGACAAACACGTGGACAAGACAAAACACAGACATTGTACAATTAGAAGTTCCAAAATTATAAAAAGGGATGTAAATGTAATTTTAAAAATCTAAAATCTCACAGATATTGTATTTTTAGACTAGGAACTGGACCCCGAGAGACACTATAATCGTCTTCTTCTTGGGGGTGGGGCTCTTCGAAATAGCCTAATACTCTGCCGGTATAATCGACATGAAACTTGAGCAATAATTGTGCATCGATTGACGGACTTCATCTTGTGATATGATGTACGTGTTTATCATTGCATAAAAACCTTATGGTATGACATAAGACTGTCAATATGTTGAATAAAAACAAATTTACTCATTATAGATCCCAATCAGTACTTTAAGGGGGCATTGGGTAAGATTAGATAAAGAGCTAACAGTTCTCGTTATAATAGCTAAAAATAGATAATGAAAACATAATAGAAAATCAGTTCTACTAATTAACCAAAAATGGTTTTGATAACGGACAATATAGAAGTTATATATTTATAAGAAGCTTTTATTTAATAAATTAAATCGTTGCTATGCAGTAGGAAACACTTCACTGCCTTAAATGACCCATGCCTACCTTGACATTTTCTGTTCCTTCTAATTTAAGAAGATTCATGGTTTTCATCAAAATAATTATTTTCTTATTTTCTAGGTGCGTTTTATTTTGTATATTTATTCTTGGTGTGTATAGTTGGAGTACCTATATTATATTTAGAGATGTGCCTTGGTCAATATGTACATGGTGGACCAATGAAAGCCTGGTCTATGATGCCCTTAGCACAAGGTAAGACAAAATCGCCATACTATGTTTGTCGCTTACCCCTTGAATGTTGGATGAAACTACCCCCCAACGGAACAATGTGGTACACTGGAGAATATGATCCAGCATACGGGTTAATTAAACAGGAATAAACTACTGTCATGCATGACATACTTCGCAAAAGATCAGTATGGAGATTGACTAAACGGGATTTCGTATAGCTCTCGTAGTCGTTTTGAGCAATTTCTTTAATCTGTAGTACGCATATATCTTTTAGGCTTTTCAAAGCTTCTGGTGCTGTTTTTGCGTGGTGATTCAAAAGGAATTAGTTAATCTGAGAATATTGCAAAATTTATAAGCGATTGACATTTTACGGCTTGTCCCAAATAGGTTTCGTCTACGGTGATTGGAAAAGATTCACATGCTGTGAAGAGAAAATAGGAAACCACGATACCTATTCTTATGATAATTCTGACATTCTATTGCCGATATTTCGATTGATAATTCAAGAAACATGCACTATTAAACGACGGCTTAACAACAATACTCATTTCTACTATTATACGCATTACACGAGCTAGCATTGTTCGAGTATATCATCTAGCGGTTATCATCTACGTCATCCTCTGTACTATCACCATCTTCATTATCCTCAACATCGCCATCATTATCAACATACAATGTAGTTTGTAATGAGGGGAGCTGGATGGTCAAGTGTTCCAACTCGTACGCATTAGATCTGTCATTGAATCAAATAGCGTCGTTTGGATACCAGACCAGGAGTAGGGTCGCCTGCCATACCTAGTGGATTTTAGTCGGGTCCTCTGGTTTCCACCTTCTGCTAATTATTGAAATTAAAAGCTAACCATATGCTATGCCCTAGTTTGGGTTGAGTGGACATTAAAATCCATTTGTATCTTCTTTCTCGCGATGTAATGTTTTTCCATAACCGACCTGTTTGTGTAATACAGATTAGATTGGTCTTTTGTCGACCAATTCTATAACACGTGTGTGACTTATCGTTTCAATGTTTAAAACCTTAAGTTTATCATTACCGAGTGTTTTCATATTCACTCAAGCAGATTTTTTAATCCTTTTATTGGATCCTTCTTTTTCTCAGAAAATCAATTTTAGCATCATGGTTTGTACTGGGCTTTTTTCAAAATCATTTAAAAAGTTAAAATGTCAAAGGAATCAGTTTGTCATTCATCAAAAGTCGTCTACACTTTAAATGAGTTGAGTTAGTGATAATTTACTTGACAGCTCAATCGTTCTTTTTTAAAAGCGTCGAGACAGAATTCACAATGAAATCCATTTTAACCACATTTTGTTGTTAATGATGTATATTTAAGACAAGGTCGCACTGTGGGACTTTTTATTGTGGAAGGGATGGGTTCGAACGGAGTTTAACGCCTCGTGTACACTGTATAAAGCCGAATTAAATACATTGATAAACAGTTTGAAAATTAAAATAGTTATGTGAAGTTGTCAAATAAAGTGCTAGGTCGGACAGTATAGGAAATGGTTCCGGGCACCCTCAATTAAAGCGTAAACGTGGATATTAGGGTTCTTAAATATTATCTTGATCAGATGCCGCCCATAGATTTGAATCTTTCTTCGATCTGTTAATGTTACCCAATCGGAAGTCTGACTTTAATGGCAAGATAGTTAGCAGAATTTATAAGATAATAAAATAACTTTAATAATCTCTGCTATAAATAAAAGGTTGATTATTAGAATGACATCTTTTGTCATATTTCTGATTAGGTCTATCTATTAAACATAATTATATATAAAACTCAGTGATATTCTAACCAATAAATCGATTAAATCGATTGATTTTATACTGAGATGTATGAATTCAGAAGACGTTGGATCAATAGCTGAATTATCATAATATCAGTAAATAGATTTCTTAGACGAAGACCAATTAATCTATTATCAGTAATTATTTAGTAATTTTCATTGCTAATGAACCGGATCAAGGAGTTCACAATATTAAATCAAGCTGAGAAAAAACAAGAAAGGCCAACAACTTGTCAACAACATTAGATATTGATATTCGTCGCTCAACAACTTTATGCTTCAATACAAAATATAAAAGAAATTGTTAGCAAGTTGGCGAATTGAGATCTGCTATCAGGTGCTCGTGAAAGAACAAATTTGTCTGGCAGTGCTTGTTCTGTATTCTATGAGATGTACATGTGGTACCCCAGTGTTTGATCCATCCCATTTTAAAACTCTTCCCGTGACGTGTGTAGCTACCACAAAGAGCCGATGATGGGGGTGGGGGTGGGGTGGGGGTGTCCAGGTAGACATTCATAACTGAATGTGTTAGGTTACACAATAAACTTTTCTGTATTCAAATATTGGTACCTAGTTCGTTTGATCGTTCGACCAATACTCTGGGTTTCGGTCTAGATCAGTTATGCATGTCGTTTGCTTGTAAAGATGTAATTGATCATGTTGCTTCACGTTTTCTTTTTCTTTGTCTTTATGAAACTTTCAGATGAAACCCCTGGGGTTTTGTGTTGTCTTTCTTATTTATTTACATCTTTTTTTCCTTTTTTCTTTATTTATATTAGTACTATCAGGGCCCATTAAGTATTGTATTAGGTATTATGTATGCCTATTATTTTACTTTCAAAAATGTCATGGTCGGTGACTTTTTTTCATTAAAGATGAATACCTCAAAGACAAACCGGTAAAACAATTGTCAAGGTTAGATGAATTTTTCACTAAAAAAGAATGCAGCAAAGACAAACCGGTACTGAGTAAAATCGCAACTACGGGCATATCACCAGGAAAAATAATAAAAATGTACTGAGGCAAACAGGGTACCGAGTAAACCCGCGACACCGGGCATATCATCAAGGATATTCTTAAAGCCCAAATTGTGACATCAAAGAGATTACAATTTGGCAATATAAGATTCTCATTTATTCAAGGTAGTTATGTGTGGTTAATGCACCAGATGTTTATTTGTAAAAACAGTTCTTGTGTAATTGCCAAAACTTTTTTTGTAACGAAAATTCAAAGCTGTGTCTCTTTTAAAGCTTAAGTATGCCGATTAAATTTCATTTAACTGTCTACATATTATGGAAACATTATCAAATTTCTGCTTTTATTATTATTTAATTAATAGAACTTTCCAGACATATTATTTTGTCGTTAAGGTGTGAGGTAAACATGAAATGAAAATGAAATGAAATGGGGTTTAATGTATTACTATTCTGCTCCGACTGGGCTAATGAAGACGAGCATACGCCATACAGTGTGCCGTGAGGGAAATTTTGTCCGGACAGCGGCTCTACGGCCTACTCGTATATCGAATTCCAACTGCCAAGGGATGTTTTACGTGCTCTGTTTTTTTGGTTGAATATGATATTAATAAAACAAACGCAGATTTGTCAAATGAAATTTATATGGATTTCGTTAAAGCAGAAAAGGAACAATTTCCATATTTATCTGATAATGCTACATGTTGAAATATTATTACCACAGTTTCTGTGGGTAACAGGTTTATATAAAACCCATGCAAATAATAATAATTTTAAGTTCTTACTTGACGGTATGTGTGTGCGTGTGTGTGTGTGTCGGGGGAGGGGTTGGGGGGGGGGGGGTCATAACGAAATTTCCACTATAGTAGATAACATCCTGCCCATTAACTTTGGTGTCTGAAATGGAGGTCCACACTATAATCGTATTAATGAGTAACTATAGGTTTATTGCTTTAATACATATAACTCATGAAAAATACTAAATATCAATAAATATGTATACTGGTGCTATAATCATACGAAGAGTATAAAACATTCAATTTACAATACTATGGGAAAATAATCTTTGAATGCAGACACAATATTCTAGCAGTTAGTTAAAGGCACAACTTTATTCCAGACTAAATCATATATCATCTGGAGCGATGCCACCATTCGACGCGAACATCTTAACCCTACGCCCCAAACTTTTTCCACCTGACTAAATATGTAAGAATAAGTAAACGAGACATTGTGTTTACATGTATGTAAAACGTAGGTATATAAATATATTTAAAACATCTTAACATTTGTTACCAATGTAGATAATGTATAAACACACCTGCTGTATTTACGGCAACCACCTTTTTACAATTTCCCGAGTGCCTGGTACACTGGGATTTGATGCCATTACAATTATCATCGCCTGTATTACAATCATCTGGTCTCCGATCATTTGTTACACGCGCCAGGAAGTAGTCTATATTGTGATGTATATTTTAGAGCAATGCTTATACCCTTTGTGATTTGATATTGTTTAAAAAAGTTGTTATTTCAAAAATCAACGGTGGCTAAGTGAGTAAGACGCTGGCTCGCTAGCCCAGAGGTCGCATTTCTCTCCTGGTGTTGGCAGAACAAGTTCATCGGGTTTTTTTCCGGGGTGGTTTCACCTTGTCAGTGACGCAGCGCTGAGGGCCTCACAATGACAGCTGTCTAGTTGTTCGGGTGGGACGAAAACCCGAGGTCGCGTGTACACATTGGCGTGCACCTAAAGATCCATTGGCAGTTGGAATTCGATATAAGAGTAGGCCGTAGCTCCGCTGTTTGAGCAAAATTCCCCTCATAGCACACTGTATGTCCGTCTTCATTAGCCCAGTCGGAGCAGAACAGTAGGATGTTAAACCCCATTTCATTTTAAATAATTAACAAAACAAAAAACAGTTTATCTATATGATTATGCTAATTATTCGTTTAATTAGCTTTTACATAATGCCTGTTTAAGTCTGATGTAGTAGAAAAAGGCCATCTGGGATCAATGTAAACGCTACAAAATTTGTTTTCGCTACAAAGCAAAAAGTGGGAAATAAAATTTTAGTATGGTAATTATAGATTAACTGAGGACATCAACCATGCCGCTCTTCGCTACTATCATTTGCATTTACTCGTACATCAAAATACGATCTTCCACTAAACTATGAGTATCGACTTATTTACATGCCTTTTAATAAGTGTATTTAAGTCAATTATTGGCTTCGCATCAATTTG